TCCTCCTCCCCCCCCTCATGTGCTCACGTCGCTCCCAAGCGCTCCCAGGCACCCACACGCGCACCCAAGTGCCCCCAGGCGCTCCCAGGCGCTCCCATGCGATTCCACGCGCTCCCAAGCGTTCCCAGGCGCCCCCCCCCCCCCTGCGGCGACGATCTCGACGTCACCGCCCGCCGACGACGACGACGATCTCGACGTCACCGCCCGCCGACGACGACGACGACGAGGGTGGCAGCAGCTGCAGCCGCAGAAGGAGAAAGAAGGAAGAGGCTTCGAGCAGGACAAAGCCAGCCCTCTGAGCCCCAGTTGGCCTGAAGAGAGCTCCCAGGAGGCCTCCAAGCAAACAACAGATGTGTCCCAAGCGAGGTTCGCCTCCCACACTGGCCCAAACAACCAACTTCACCGAATGGTGCACAACATTCTCAAAACGTTCGGCTTGCCATGCCGTTTGGGCCCACCCCCCTTGCCCTCTCCTCCCCTCCCCTCACCCTCCGTCCCCGCTGGAGGGCCCCTTTACCCTCCTTTGAGTCTGGGGCCCCGCTGAGATTGAGGCTCCTCGTAGCATTGCGTCCCTCTCCTCCTGCGGGGACAGCAGGCGACCACGACCACATCGAGGCCACGCCCTCGGGGATGCCTCGCGGCTGGCAATCGCCAGAACACTGGGACCCGCTTGGCACCGGTGGTGGTCGACCTGGCGCCCAGGACGACCACCTCGACGACCACAACCAGAGTGTTCATGTCGGGGTCGGTGGGTTCACCCCACTCGGTCCGGGTTGTGGTCCTCTGCTGCGCCTGGAGGCAGGGCGTCGAAGGGTACCCCGTCCTCCCTAGGGCCCACGGCGCCCGAGCGAGCCCACACCCCGAGGGCCACTGCCAGACGCACTGACCTTCACGCAGAAACCTGATCGGACAAGAACGGGAAGCGAGCGCCGCCTGAGTCTAATGGGCGCATTGGCAGCGAGGAGTCGATGACGAGGACGACGTGGCGAACGTGAGAATCCGCCGCCGCCGTCCCTTTCCGTCCCCCTCCCCGTCGAGACAAGTTTTGCAAGTTTCCGAAAAGAGCCTGGGTTCTCCGGGGGGGGGGGGGGCAGGTGACGGCCATCAACCTACCATTCTTTCGCCATGGGCAGCCCCGGCGCTCCCCGGGCGCACCGCTACTGCGCACACCTCCCTCTGGTCCTGCGCAGCAGGCGAGGCCAGGGTGTCCAGGGGACTGGGTGGGGGAGGGGGGAGGACACTCGGACCCGATAGCCAGGCGTGCCTCCACGAAACAAGCATCAGTCTCCTCTCGGGGGGGAGGCGCGGAAGGGCAGGCAGCAAGGGGCAGGGCAAAGAATCAGCTCACGCAGCTTGTTTTCCTGGCGCCTCCTGGCGCCGGGAGGCACCCATGGGTCGAAAAATGGGCCCGGCGGCGGGGCGGAAACCAGCCGCAGGCAGCAGATTTCGGCACCTCCCCGTTCCCTTTCCTACCCCCTCGTCCAGCCCGATCCTCCCTTTCCATACAGTCGCCGTTGTTACGATAAGGAGTCGGAGTACTTCAGTAGTGGAAACAATTTGTTTTCAAAATGTTTGGTCTTTAGAAGCTCCGCGTGGCGACGCCCCCGTCGCCACGCGTGCCCTCTGCGTGCCTGCGGGGACGCCGCCACGTGGAAGTACTGGAGACCGAGCATTCGGGGCGTCGCTACGCACGCCCTCTGCGTGGCTGCGACCATTTGTTAAAACCCTAAAACCAATTACATTCACTAATAATAAAGTATATGGGGCCGGAAGATCGCGCCGCATCGCCAATACGTCGGCGATGCATCGGCGATGCATTGACGATGCGCCGGCGACGTCGGCGATGCATCGGCGACCCCAGCGCAGAGAACATCGGGCTCCTCATCGAGCCGCATCGCCGATGCTTCGACGGTACGGCGCGATCCTCCGACCACATCTGTGAAGGGGCCCTGGGACACACCAGTAAATACACACAAATAGCAGGACTCCCCATATTTTCGCGTACTTTCTGGGTTTTTGGCCTTCTCCCCCACTTCCCATCGTTTCCCATGATTATTTTCCCGCGGATCGACGATTCATGGTGTCTGTGTGTTTTGTTCCCCTCCCGAATCTGCTCGGACCCCATCGGGGACGCCTGGAGGCCACGATCACGTGCTCCGACCTCGATCCGAGGGAGCGGCCTGACATCCAGAGCCCCTCCTGCACCCTGAAAACGGTACTCCTTTCGCTGTCTTTGCTGACGAATCGAACGAACAACACACATACACACACATCCATACCCATAGAGGGTCGTTGGGAGGAGTTCTCCTTTCCCTGTCTGCACCGGCGAACGAGCTACACACACCCATAGCTAGGACGGTCGTTGGGAGGAGGACCGGCTGTGGATATGGGTGCGGGTTGTCGGACCCTGGGGGGCTCTCCCGTTCGAGTGGGGGCCCCCATCCGACAACACGCACCCACAGCCCTCAGCGATCCCCCTATGGGTATGGGTGTGTGTTGTTCGCTCGTCATTTACTGTATCCCACCAGCCCGCCCCTCGTCCAGAGTCCCTCCTTCTTCCCCGTTTATCATACCCCCTTCCTCCTCTTCCCCCCTCAATTCGGACACTCAGGTCGCCTGACTTCGCGCATCGCGCCCCGCGATAATCCTCGCGCCCCCCTTGAAGAAGCGCTGGAGGCGGCTATGAGGTCTGAACATGTTGAGTCCCGAGAAAATCTGTCAAGAGGGGGGGGATGCGGGCAAATCCGTTCAATATCGGTCCCCGGACCCCTCCCTGTGTCCACCTGGTGAGGTTTCTCACCCCAAGTAGTTTTCGACGGCCCCGGGGGCTCCGAAAACGGCCCCGAGAAGCCGAAAGGGGCAACAAAACCTGCTCGAACCCAGCACCTCGAACCTGCCCCCCTCCCCCTCGCTTCCTGCTGGCCAGAAACAGTGCTGGGCCACCTCAGACCCCCAGCCGACTCCAAGCGCAGGGCAACGGCACTGGCCCAGCCCTCGACGCGCGACGCTCGCATACCTTCGCGCCCCCGACGGGCGACCAAAAACATACGGGCTCGAGCGCGCGACCCACGGGACGGCAGCCAAACCGGAGCCACGAAGGGACGAGGAGCGAGGGTGAGGGAGGAAGGAGGGACGACGCAAGGGGGATGAACTAGAGGAGCAAGAACCGGCATAAATCAGTGCGAGGGGGCCGAACGGTCATTCTCACTGTCCCCGGGTGCGTGGCTGACATGGAATGCCGCGGCGCGGGTTCTGCTTGTTTGTTGCGGTTGTCCCACACGCGACCCGCCCCGCGAACCACCCGCGACCCGCCACGCAACCCACCCGCACCCGCCCCCATCACTCTTACCCGAAACTGCGGGGTGCTACATTTGGTGCTTCTGGGAGGTCCGCGCGGATTTCCTGGCTCGGCGCTGGCCCCCTCCCTGACGTGCGGAGCGCGCCAGGGGCGGCGCCAGAACGCCGCCAGGGGGGCCCACAAGAGAGAAGATGAGGGGAGGATGCAGGAGGAGGAGGAGGAGGAAGAGGAAGAGGGAGGGGGGAATTTGAATCTGGAGAACTGGAGGCGCCCGTCTCCTCCGCCTTCCAGCTCTCCCCTGCTCCCTCTTCCCCTCCCCCCCTCACTCCCTGTCGTGTCTGCTGGGATGTGCCCTGTCGTCGGCACCCGCGTTGTCAGTCGCCTTCCACCTGGGTGCTGAGGATACCGCCTTGACGGGCACGCCGCCCCCTTCGTGGTGGGATTCGGGCCTCTGGCCGACAGGCCTGGTCTACCGGTGGGCACCACACCTAAAACGGGTATGGTGCCGGGGCTGCGGATTTGAGAAGATGACGAATGAAACTGCCAACAGAGGAAACCATCCATTTCTGATGGGATGGGACGATGAGACGATGAGATTCCGACCTGATGCCTCAGGTCTTTGGGTGGAGCCCCCTCTGGACCATGCAGCAACACACCTTGGCTTTGCAATCAGAACAGCCGACGCATTTGGCTCGGCGAATCCTGGACTGACCGAGGGTCGAACATCCTTTAACAGCGAATGCGCAAAACTGAGAGGGGTGAGGGGCACCGAGAAGGAGGGAGGGGCGGCCCACGTGGAAACATCGACGACCATGAATCCATGAGACATCGCCGACAAATCGGCGAGAGGTCCCGGACAGCGAATCCCCACGTTCCTGGGCGGGGTGGGCCATCGAGCACCTGTCGGCGATCAAGTAGCTACTTTGGGGTCCATGCGTCCCCCTCGAATCCATCTTCCCGAATGGTTGCTGCTGAAGGGGAGGAGGCGCCTTCACCAGGATGGAGCACGTAAACTTGTCTGGGCGCATCTTCGCCGCCCGCATCGCGGCGAGGACCTCTCGCCGCGATCTGGGTTACATCCCCGCTCCGCGACGCGCCTCTCGATGAACGGTGTTGCATGCCTTTTGTACTTATTGGGCGATGCGACGTCACAGTCGCGACAGAACATGCACCAGAAGCGAACAGATTAGCTGCACCCTGCGCGTTTCTGCAGCATCTCAGCCTCGCCCGTGGCCCGGACGTTGCCTTCGCCACATGACCGTTGTCTTGTGGCCGCGACCAAAAAAAGTTTCTGCAGCATCACACTTTCCCCTCGGCGGCCACACGCGCAGCGTGGTGCTAGTGGCAACGATTGAGACAACGCAGAGTCGCGGCAAGCGAAGCGGAAATAGGGACCAGGAGAAGGACATCCAGAACGGCAGGGACAGGCTTCTGCTCCCGCACACACACGCGCACACTTGGGACGACCCTCGGCCGACGCGGTTCACATCATCTTCGCTCGGGACATTGGCTGCGTTCCCGTGGTGGAAGCTGGCGCGTAGCGAAGGAGCGGGGGAGGACCAGGAAGACGGAGGAGGAAAGGAAGAGGACGGGGAGGACGAGGCGAAAGCGGGAGGCGTGAGGACGCATCATAAGGAAGAGGAGGAACAGGAGGGAGGACCGGCGGGACACAGGAGGGGCAAGAGGTACCACGGAGGTGGAAGGTGAGAATGGAGGGTGAAGGACAGGAATAACAGCGAGGAGGGAGGGTTGGGGGGAGGGCCTCAGGGGATAAGAATGGAAGGACAAGAAATGACTATGATCGTCTGGACGCCGGAAGCAGATACGGAAAACATACACACGATGCCCACAAACAAATGTTGTCCAAAGCTAACAGCAGCTGTTGAGCAGGCGGCATTCTGCCTCAAACGGACAACGTCCGCGGCGTCACCGACAGCGAGCCCTCCTGCTCAAAATGAACAGGAAATGCTGTCGGTCTTTGTGCTCATCCTGTCCATACCCATGTCGATCGTCCCGAGAACAAGGCGAGGAGGGAGGGAAGAAGCCGCCCCCTCCCGCCGCGAAAATTCCCCGCCCCACCGGCAGCAACCGAGTCGGGCCGAACGCTGTAGGCCGAATGCTCCGAGGGCGCAAACCCGCCTCAGATGCACCGATCGGTGGCGGCGACACCCGAACCCTGCCCCCGTCAGGCGTCGATTCTCATGAGTCGCTGGGGGGCGGGGGGCGGGGGCAAGCTCGGACATCGCCACGGGTTCGACGAAGTCCAGGCCCTACCCACGCCGCCCATCGCCTGAATCGTCGATCGGCATGGGCAAGCTGCGAACTTCGCCTGAGGTCGGGCATGTCCGCCTACAGGCGGATTTTGGGCGAAAAATTAAAAATTATGCTAACGGAGTTCCCCACATAAAGAGATTAACGGTTTCGTGGGACCCATTTTCTTGATGCCCTCCTCGCTTTGGCGGGGCCCCGCTGGAAGGGGGGAGGGCTACGAAACCTGGCGAAGAGTAATGCTTTCCGCGACCCTCCTCGTTCAAGCGCGGCCTCTCTGGAGGAGTGGGAGGGGCACGAAACCATGTAAATAGTATGGTTTTCGGATACCCTCCTCGCTCAGGCGGGGCCTCCCTGGAGGGGTGGGAGGGGCACGAAACCATGTAAATAGTATGGTTTTCGGATACCCTCCTCGCTCAGGCGGGGCCTCCCTGGAGGGGTGGGAGGGGCACGAAACCATGTAAATAGTATGGTTTTCCGATACCCTCCTCGCTCAGGCGGGGCCTCCCTGGAGGGGTGGGAGGGGCACGAAACCATGTAAATAGTATGGTTTTCGGATACCCTCCTCGCTCAGGCGGGGCCTCCCTGGAGGGGTGGGAGGGGCACGAAACCATGTAAATAGTATGGTATTCCGATACCCTCCTCGCTCAGGCGGGGCCTCCCTGGAGGGGTGGGAGGGGCACGAAACCATGTAAATAGTATGGTTTCCGATACCCTCCTCGCTCAGGCGGGGCCTCCCTGGAGGGTGGGAGGGGCACGAAACCATGTAAATAGTATGGTTTCCGATACCCTCCTCGCTCAGGCGGGGCCTCCCTGGAGGGGTGGGAGGGGCACGAAACCATGTAAATAGTATGGTATTGGGATACCCTCCTCGCTCAGGCGGGGCCTCCCTGGAGGGGTGGGAGGGGCACGAAACCATGTAAATAGTATGGTTTCGGATACCCTCCTCGCTCAGGCGGGGCCTCCCTGGAGGGGTGGGAGGGGCCTCCCGATAAGAAGGGGGGGGAGGGACACGAAACCATGTAAATAGTATGGTTTCCGATACCCTCCTCGCTCAGGCGGGGCCTCCCTGGAGGGGTGGGAGGGGCACGAAACCATGTAAATAGTATGGTTTCCGATACCCTCCTCGCTCAGGCGGGGCCTCCCTGGAGGGGTGGGAGGGGCACGAAACCATGTAAATAGTATGGTTTCCGATACCCTCCTCGCTCAGGCGGGGCCTCCCTGGAGGGGTGGGAGGGGCACGAAACCATGTAAATAGTATGGTATTCCGATACCCTCCTCGCTCAGGCGGGGCCTCCCTGGAGGGGTGGGAGGGGCACGAAACCATGTAAATAGTATGGTATTCCGATACCCTCCTCGCTCAGGCGGGGCCTCCCTGGAGGGGTGGGAGGGGCACGAAACCATGTAAATAGTATGGTATTCCGATACCCTCCTCGCTCAGGCGGGGCCTCCCTGGAGGGGTGGGAGGGGCACGAAACCATGTAAATAGTATGGTATTCCGATACCCTCCTCGCTCAGGCGGGGCCTCCCTGGAGGGGTGGGAGGGGCACGAAACCATGTAAATAGTATGGTATTCCGATACCCTCCTCGCTCAGGCGGGGCCTCCCTGGAGGGGTGGGAGGGGCACGAAACCATGTAAATAGTATGGTATTCCGATACCCTCCTCGCTCAGGCGGGGCCTCCCTGGAGGGGTGGGAGGGGCACGAAACCATGTAAATAGTATGGTATTCCGATACCCTCCTCGCTCAGGCGGGGCCTCCCTGGAGGGGTGGGAGGGGCACGAAACCATGTAAGTAGTATGGTTTTTGGTATGGAGTGGTATGGAATGGTATGGTAGGTATGGTATCGTACGGTATGGTATGATATGGTATGGTATGGTTCTCGAGGTATGGTATGGTATGGTACGGTGTGGCATTGGTGTGATATGGTATGGTATGCTATGGTACGCCATGGTATGGTATGGTACGGTATGGTACGTATGGTGTGGTATGGTATGGTATGGTATGGTATGGTATATGTGTGGTAGGAACTATGGTATGGTATGGTGTGTGTGGTAGGAATAATATTGTGCTGTATGGAAGATGGAGCGGGAGGTGGGTGGGAAGGAGAGGGTGTTCTGGGAAAACAAGAACCCCACTCAGGATGTGGGGAATAACCTCAAAATTCAAAAAAAAAAAAAAACGGCTAGAAAATCGTCCACATTATATCTTTTCCCAACATTTTAATCTTGGGACAGGCGAAGGCCTCGTGAAGGCCTCGCAAATGGGATCGTTGTCCCCGCCCCGCCTGTGGTCGTGGCCCTGTTGGCATAGCGTGGTGAAGGGTGCCGGTGCTCCCCCCGCCGTCCACCTGTGGGTGGTGGCGTGGTTCGTCGGCGTCGTCGTCGTAATCGTAGTCGTCGTCGCCGTCGACGACGCCGACGTCGACGTCGCGACGTCGACCACGTCGACGTCCGTCGTCGTCGCCGCCGTCGTAGTCGTCGTCGTCGTCTTCGTCGCCGTCGTCGTCTTCGTCGTCGTTGTCTTCGTGATCGTCGTCGTCGTCGGCGGCGTCGGCGGCGTTAGCGTCGGCGTCGACGTCGGCCTCGGCGTTGCCACCCCCGCCCATCCCATCTGGGGGGGGGCTGAAGTGCACAGAAAAATGGACAGGTCTGGTTGGCAGCACACCGTTGAACAGTGCTGCAGCCTCCCCCGAGCACAGGCCCCCCTCAGAGCATCAGCCAGACAAGGCGGGTTTGTATCCTCATGCCTTGCTGGACTCTGCGCGCGTTTGTTTCGGCATTACCATGCGATGTGCCCCCCGTGGGAGCACGGACCGCCACGAGGGAACAGCAGGAAGAGAGGCGGGGGACCGAGCGAACCAGGGTTAGGAGGAATAGACGACGAACGCAGCTCGCCGTGGGCAGGGCCCGGAGGACGCGGTGGCGGGGACGAAATTCGTGCCAAACGGGCAATATAGAAGCCCTGTTGCCAGTGACTCGCCGCCCCGTCGGCAAAGGAGGAACCGCGACGGCGACCTCCCCCGACATCCGTCGGGTGTTGCTAGAAGTGTCCCTGGCCCAAGGTGCCCCGAGGATTTCCAAGGAGGCCCCCACGGCCTCCAGAGCACCCTTCACGAGGCCAAGAGGGCCCCAGGAGCTTGAAAATTGGGCCAACAGCTGAGGGCGCTTTAGGCCAGGGGCACCTGTATCAACCCCCAAACCGATACAACTTTTTCAGCCTGCGTCCCCAGAGACACCGATCGCTTCCCCGGGGGGGCAACTTTGGGTTCCAAATCCACGTTTGATCGCCGCAGGACCTGAAGACGTGCCGAGGACCGATCTTCAAGAAACGGTTGAAGAAAAAAACACGTCGCCAGTTTCTGGTTGGGCGCGTACAGGGGAGAGGGGGGGGAGCAAATGGGGGGGAAGAGAGGTGCACTCCTCGGGCCCTAAAGGCCCCCGGTGGGACCCTAAAGGTCCCATTCGGGGGCCCTGAAGGGCCCCTTTTCTGCAGCCTTCGCTGGCCCCCCCACTCTATCGCCCCCCATAACGCGACGCTCCATTTGGGCCGTGCATATCGGCCCTCCGGCGGCCGCTTGGGACGAACTGGAGGCACCCCCGCAACGTTCGCGACGAGGCGAAGCCGCTGACAAGCACCCCGAAGCTGGAAAGCGCCCGAGCGCCGACGAATTCGAGAAAACACACTCCGGGATTGACAGCACCGTCGGGTATGTGGGGCCACCGCGGCCGTTCCTCTCGCGCGGCCGCGCGCGCAGCGGCGCGGCGGAGAAAGGT